AAAACACCAAAAAATAAACTTGACTCCGAAAGAGTTTAGGTTATACATCTTATAGAAATTGATGCCGAAAGACAAACATTAATATGATTCGCCCCTTGTTTTGTACAAAAAGTTTTACTCTATTGTTGACAGTGAATCTTTGAGATGAGTTTTTGTTACACGATTTAAACAAATTCCTGAAGAATTTTTAAATTTTCAGTGCCTTAAGTTATATCACCTTTGAAATCATAGGTCGTTGATTCTTTTTCGACAATTGATAAATTGTCTATTGCAAAAACTGTTTTTATTTTGTGATAATATTTATGTATACTTTTGATCCTTTATGTATCCTTCCTTTTATAATTCATGGGATAAAAAGTTAGCTAAAAGTAAGTTTTTGTTAGTATCACGCAGTTCATAGATATACATGTGCATTTCACGTTCATGTTTATGTATATGATAGGATCCTAAAATTGTTCCGTTTTTGTAGGCATGACTAAACACGAACAAGTAAATGCCATTGAACTGTTTAAAAATGGAGAATTTAAAATTATTGTTGCGACAACTATTGCTGAGGAAGGGCTCGACATCAAAGAGTGTAATCTTGTTGTAAGATACGACTATGCCGGATATCCAATTTCCCTCGTGCAAGCACGAGGTACAAGTAACTTTGATAGAAAAGCAATTCATGCATTTATCAACATATTTGAAAAACAGTTTGAAGAAATACATTTGGTATATATCACAATGTAGCAAAATGATTTAGAGATAAAAAGATGTTATAATTTTACATGTGCAGTTTGTATGTGATACAGGTCGAGGTCGTGCAGAAAACAGTCGTTTCTATGTGCTAGCTTCTGCAGAGAAGTGTGTTGCTGAAAGAGAGTGGGTGAATACTTTAAAAGAACCGATGATGGAAGAAGCAATGAAAAAAGTACAACAAGAGATTGATTCCAACCACGATGTGTTCCTTGAAAAGCAACAAGAGTTTCAGAAACTCGCTAAAAGGGAACGCGATGCAGCAAAACATAACAAGGGAAGGAGAGTCGTGGGAATTGGGCAATATAACTTAAGGTCAATATGCAAAAAAAAATTTAAAAATGAAATGCTGACAGTTACTACGTCCATCATTTATTCATTTGCATATGTTAATGTTCAATATCTATAAAAAAGTATTTTGTATTCTGTAAATCAAGCGTAAGAATAATTCATATTTTGATTTATTTTACATAGAGCGAGGGCAGGGTATATCAGTACATAATTTTCTTTAGTATGCTAAAAAACGATAAATGTTATATAATGCATATATTGTTCATTTTTTGCAGGTGCTTGAAATGCAATGCTTTCTTGTGTATGTCGAGCGAATTAAGGAAGATACTTAATGCGCATCATACCTGTATCAGTGAAGATACAAAAAATAACATAATCGGGAAAAAATATTCCAAAGCAGCCTTTCAAGGAGAGGATATTGAGATGGGAGTCGGTCAGATCTCTTGCAAAGAATGCCTTGTGAAGTTAGGAACCATTGCTCTCTTCAAAGATGTATTTTTCCCTATTTTAAGTATCACTGCATTAAAAATCGAAGACGATTTGGAGCGAGGAGATACTTTGAAAAAATGGAAATTTGTGGAGAGGTATTTCAAGGTGCCAGAGTTAACAGAGGCTGATCTTGAAAATGTTGCAAAGTTTGAAAGACTTATTGAATTTTAGAAATATTCTGAAAGAGATTTTGCAACAAAGATGCTAATATTTGATGGTTATTTTTTTTTTTTAATTATATTAATTTATTTTTCGTAATTTATTTGATATAAGCATTGTTTTAAGTTCTATACCTGAAATACTTTGCAGTACATAGTATTGGGCATGTTTACAACGTGTTGAATGCTTAATATTTAATTCTGTATTGTACAAACATACTGTATTCAAAATGTTAGCTTCAAGTATTTGTATGATTATATATTTCTGTGATATTTTTAATATTAATGAACACTTATTGCCTAAACATTTTTTTATGTTTATTCCAAAAAATAAGTTTTTGTTTAAATAGTTCACATGTTGATAAGACATTAGAAGAAAGGATTGTTGAAAAAGTTAGGAGAAATGATCAAGGAGTGTATTACTTTATATTGAAATTTCTATACTATACTTAAATAATCGAAAAGTTTTTTTTCTTTTTAAATCGACCCGTTTATAACATTCATTACATTTATATTATTATTATACATAAATTAATTATGGCGACGTATTGTAGTCAATACATGTAATTTGTAAATTAAAGAAATCTCTGGACATTTGGAGTCGTTCATATCCTGTCAGAGATGCAGCAGTCTTTGTGACTTCATCAACAAATAAATTGATATTTATTTGTAACCCGGTGTAAGTTATTGTATATGTTTATACATACTGTGATGTCTTGAAACTAAAAAAAGAATTTTAAATAATTGATATGGAGTATGTTTATTTCTATGATTATTTACATATTGTTTTGTGGCTGTGTTTAATGTGAAAGAATGATGAAAAATGATTAAAATTTTTCTTCTATTTCATTGCTTTGTATCTTATTAATATACCATATTTTAGCATTTAGAAATAAGAACATGATGTTAGTTTTAATTGAAATGAACCAGTTTATACCATTCAGCATATGTCGTTTACTACTAAATATACATGTATTTAAAAATGCATTTTGCGAATAACTTTCTATCATACTTAATTTTGAAATGGTTTTTATTTTTTAAAGAAAGAATTTAAAGGTAGAAAAGATATTTTTATGCGAGTAATTTTTAACAGAATCAATAGTTTTGCAAAACTTTTTATTTATTTTAGCTCATGTTTCTGTGCAAGTCGTAAGTTTTTATGTAAAATTAAACCCAAATAATGATTTGTAAGCCGTTGGAAACCATTGTACATGTTTTGTGCTATATGCATACTGGTGTATTTTTTTTCAAATCATAGTTTAACAGGTTGATTGTGTTTGTGTATAATGTGAAAAGCATGAAATTTAATAATATAGAAATCCAATTATCTGCAATTGGAGAAAATTAAAAATTGGAAAAGATGTTTTACTTTCTCTCAAACTATTTTTATTTATTTAAAAGAAGCATACAGTTTTTAATAATCATTAAAAAAGCCACCGAGATTCTCCCTGGATATCAGTATTCACTTTTACGTGTATGACTGTATTTTCTTAAAAATGACTTTAATGGCCTCAGTTCTAACTGTAAATCGCCTTTAATTCGCGGGAACTTTATTTTCGCATAATTACACGAGACTGTCTTCTTGCGAAAATTTCAACAACAAAAATTCGAAAATTCGCGCAGCACACCAAAAATGTAATTAAACATCGGTATGTAATATTTAAAATCCTACGAAAAAGTATTTACTACTAGGTATTTTGGGAATAGAAATGAAATTTCTTGATATTGTATTAATACCTATCTTTCTTCAAATTATGGTGTATATACTTTAACGAATATGAATTTTATAAAGTTTTATATACAACTTTAAATTCGACTTGCTGAAAAATGACGGATGCGATGACACAGGTAGCTCACTGGACTGTGATCAAGAGTTTTGATCTTGAATTCACTCCAACAGAAATGTATGTCATAAATGTTTGGTACACATGGAAATTCTTCTGGTCTTTAGTATATTAGAATGACTAAAAATGGTTTTCAAAGAATGTAAAGAACGGAGACTAAAAAAAGACCGGTCTAAGAATCGGGTAAAAGTGACACTGTGCATCTCCATTAAAGAAGACAGACGAAAAACCACTGGAAACATTTCTTGAAGAATTTTTTTATATTTTCAGTGCCTTAAGTTATATCGCCCTTGAAATCATAGGTCTTATATTCGTTTTAAAAAAAATTGATAAATGGTTTATTGCAAAATACGTTTTTATTTTGTGATAATATTTATGTATACTTTTGATCATTTATGTATCCTTCCTTCTATAATTAAGATAAAACTAACTTTTTATGGGGAAAAAAGATAAAAAGTTAGCTAAAAGTAAGTTTTTGTTACTATAACGCAGTTCATAGATATAGGGTGAATTTACCATGCATCGGACACCCTCGCACTTCAACAAGTTCTAGCGATATCGCTACCTACCGAATATTATCAAAATGGAGCTTAACATGTAGTATTTGATTAAAACATAAATTTTGACATAATTGTGTGCTTTTTATTGAGAAAATATCACTAAAAACCGATTTTTTTCGAAATAAGTCAGAATTCACCATGGATCGGACAATATTCACCATGCATCGGACATACGGTATAAAATTTAAACCGGAAAAATATCATACCTTGATCTCGGTGCTTTAGAATTAGTGATAACGAAACATTTTTATCTTTTATTTCAAAATCAACCTTCTAGTTAAATTTGAATGATCATTTCGATCTACAAATGTGAAAAGATTTTAGTTGCATCACATCGCCTTAGAAAGGCTTTACAATGCTAGTTATATGGCAACTCGCGCCTATGTCTCGTGGGTTATCATCATCTAGTTTTAAGAAATAAACTGAGTCCACTTCTAGTCGTCATATATCGAGGTCCGACTCGTTTCGTTGAAGTCTATTTAAAAGAGCGACAACTCTGAAAATTGCAAAATCGTAAAATTCTGGTTACTCCCCTTTGATGATGCAAAATATGACGTTATATTTCAAGACCATTCTTGTGGTATTTTTATTACAACATGAAAATAAAACTCGGCATCATTAAAAAGTTTAAATCTTCACCTTTAAGACAGAAACAAGTAAAAACACGGGGAGACTCAGGTTCAATAAAAGTTTATTGCTTAAAGTTGTCCAAAGCAAAGTATGTGTCCGATGGATGGTTAACTCACCCTACATGTGTATTTCATTTTCATGTTTATGTATATGTTTTGATCCTAAAATTGTTCCTCTTTTGTAAGCATGACTAAACACGAACAAGTAAATGCCATTGAACTGTTTAAAAATGGAGAATTTAAAATTATCGTTGCGACAACTATTGCTGAGGAAGGTCTCGATATCAAATCTTGTAAGATACGATTATGATTGAAATCCAATTTCACTGGTGCAAGCACGAGGTAGAAGTAACTTCGATAGAAAAGCAGTTCATGCATTTATTAACATATTTGAAAAAAGTTTGAAGAAATACATTTGATATATATCATTATGTAGCAAAATGATTTAGAGACAAAGAGAGGTTATGATTTAAGATGTATAGTTTTCATACATATGTTTGTATGTGATACAGGTCGAGGTCGTGCAGAAAACAGCCGTTTCTATGTGCTAGCCTCTGCAGATAAGTGTGTTGCTGAAAGAGAGTGTGTAAATACTTTAAAAGAACCCATGATAGAAAAAGCAATGAAAAAAGTACAACTAGAGATTGATTCCAACCACGATGTGTTCTTTAAAAAGCAACAAGAGTTTCAGAAACTCGCTAAAAGGGAACGCGATGCAGCAAAGCATAACAAGGAAAGAAGAGTCGTAGAAATTGGGCAATATTGCCTAAGGTAAAAATACAAAAAAATATTTTTAAGAATGCAATGCTGGCAGTTACTCTAAGTCCATCATTTAATGAACTGCATAAGTTGATGTTCAATATCCATAAAAAAGTATTTTGTATTCTATAAATCAAGCTTAAGAATAATCAATATTTTGATTTATTTAACATAGGGCGAGGATAGGTGATATCAGTCATATTTTTCTTTAGGATGCTGAAAAACCAGTAAATGCTTTATAATGCAAATTGTTCTTTTTGCAGGTGCTTGAAATGCAATGCTTTCTTGTGTATGTCGAGCGAGTTAAGGAGTATACTAAATGCTCATCATACTTGTATAAGTGAATATTTTAAAAATAGCATTTTCGGGAAAAAATATTCCAAAGCAGCTTATCCTGGAAAGGATATCGAGATGGGAGTCGGTCATATATCCTGCAAAGAATGCCTTGTAAAACTGGGAACCATCGCTCTCTATAAAGATGTATTTTTTCCTGTTTTAAGTATCGGAGCATTGAAAATCGAAGAAGATTTGGAGCGAAGAGATACATTAAAAAAATGGAAATTGGTGAAAAGATATTTAAAGGTGCCTGAATTGACAACGGATGATCTTGAAAGTGTTGCAAAGTTTGGAAGGCTTATCGAATTTTGAAAGTATTCTAAAACAGATTGCCACAAAGAAGTCTAAATATTTGATGGTTTACTTTTTTTTTTACATGTATTAATTCAGCTTTCTTAAGCTTACTTTATTGACATTTTTATAAGGAAATATTGGTACTAAGATAATATACATGTATGTATGTTATCTCTTAAAAAATGTTGTTAACAAAAATTCAAATAAATGAAATGAAATAAATTTATATGATTGGCAACTGGTGTAGATCTCCGGGCATCTTTTGTACTTATACATACTGTGATACTTGATAAAGCACTGGAATAAAACTTTGATAAATTATATTATATTTTTAATCTTGAAATTTGCATGTTTTTTTGGCATTTGTGTTAAATTTTTAAAAAGGCGGGATGAAGAGTCCAACACTTTAATTAGCTGAAGAGGTATCTATTGAAAAGAATTTGGTTTGCTTTTCTGTCATAATAACTGGATTTGAAGAAGGCATTTTTTAATACTTCTATTAATCCTATTTGAAATAATGAAGAGTCAAATTTCAAGATTAATTGCATTTCTGCATGATTGTAACGTTTTGTCTAACTATGCTTAGCACTTATTGTGCAATATTCTAGGTTGAAGGTACAAAGTCCAAGCTCTTCGAGCTTTTTAAACGGGTACATAAATTCTATAATCGTGCAAAGTGGAGCTGTTGATTTCTTGGTTAAGTTTGGAGATCTTAGATACAATATTGAGGAAAATTTGTTATGTTAGAATAATTCAATATTCCTTACTTTCATCACTTTGAACCAATGTACTTCTACGGAGAATTTTTTCTGTTCATTTTCCGATGAATGTAATATCAATTTTAGTAACCGAACTACTTTTCTTTATTCATTTTGATACAATTGTTGTTAGTGTTTCTCATTCCAGTAATTGAATAAACCCGACTGTGTTATAAACTAATACTCTCTATAGCGTACGACAATGTTCTTTTCATGATTTAAATTCAGCTTCTGTAAATCTTTTGTTTCTCTCCGTGTGCTTTAAAGGAAATATTTTAATTATATGTTTCTATTTTTAAATTTTACAATAAAAATTCTTGTTGAGAAGAAAAAAAGAAAAATATTCAAATAAATTATTAAGCGAGGTAATTGTTGTCAATGGTAATGCCGGGGATGGCAAGGGATATAACTCTGTAAAGAAGCACGTGTTTTGCGTTTTATTTGTAAAGAAAGAATTTACATTGAATTTAGCACAAATTGAAAACCAAACTAGAAAAAAAAATTATGTAGGTTATGAAAATTAAATGATAAGAAGGACCTTAGACTAAGTTTTCCTGATGTGAGTGTTATCACATTCTCAAGTATTTCGTCTGCACATCAAACTTATACAGGGTATTAACCATGTTAATTGTCACAAGTTGTACGTATATTTTAAGGTGTATCGACAAACAAGTTTATTTCTAGATTTTTTTTAACCTGAAGATATCTCTTTCTTATATTCCATTGCACTCCACTTGACGTGTTACCGTTGACCGTTTGCTTACTGACAACAAAGCAAGTTTCTGCATGCTTTATGTGTAATCGCTTTTAAAAATTGCACGTGCAGATTTTCATAACTCGCGTAATCGATAACTTAGGAAATCGTTATAAAGACAATTAAAACATAACGGGGAATTCTTTATTTTTATAACATTTAAAAAAAAATTATACCCGCCTTGTGTACTACAGGCATTTAGATCCGCTCCCACGAATCGTGTGATTTTCCAATCGATATATTTCTACGCACCTGTCGGCATGTAAATTTCGTGCACAATTTTTTGAGTTAGCTAAATTATGAGTATGTACATGAAAAGAAACATTTTTTTCGCTGAAATTGAATTATAAGCATTGACTATATAAATTATTTTGTTCATTGAGAAATGAATCTAAAAAACGAATCGCACACTTTATGAAAGCCGAAGGCTTTCATAAAAAAGTGTGCGATTCGTTTTTTAGATTCATTTCTCAATGAACAAAATAATTTATATAGTCAATCCTGTATTGAATATGAAGGGGTATTATTATTCATTAAGTTTGTTACTTACTGTCCATAGAAAATATCGGTTTAAACTCAGACATGGCCATGGCGTGTAAAACGTTGCCATATTATACATGATTCCTATTCAAAGAATTTATGATTCCTATTCTAAAACATATTCTTATTCGATAAAATGTGATTCCTGTTCGATGAGTTCTTATTCCTATTCCAAAAATGTGATTCCTATTCAATAATTTATTTCTATTTGAAAAATTGTTATTCCTCTTGGAATAAATATCATTCCTATTCCAAAGTATATCATTCATATTCGAAAACATGACTAGTGTTTCCAATTCGATAACATGTCATTCATATTCGAAAACGTGTGATTTTTATTCGATACTTTTGTCATTCTCATTCCATACTTACGTGATTTGTATGCAATAAACTTGTTATTCCTATTCGAAAATATATCATTTCTATTCAATAATTGCATTTCGAGTAATTATGTTTTCCATAGGAATAATATGTTTATGGAATATAAATCCTTTAATTATCGAATAATAGTGACAAAATTATCGAATAGGAATCACATGTTTTCGCATACGAATAACAACTTATCGAATATGAATTACATTTTATCGAATAGGAATTATATGTTTTAGAATAAGAATAAAAAAAAATTGAATAGGAATAACAACAGGAGGCTCATGGGCCACAACGCTCACCTGAGTAACTTTGGCCCTGCTGTTCTTCATCTGATTTTCCTCCTTGTAATATCTATTGTGACCCCGCTCTACCCGAAGGGTCATGATTTGTACAATTTAGAATCTATACTACCCAAGGATCCTTCCACATAAGTTTCAGCTTTTCTGGCCCAGTGGTTCTTGAGAAGAAGATTTTTCCTGCATATTTCAAAGTAGTACTTAGATTCCTTATTGTGGCCCCGCCCTACCCCCCTGGTGTCATGATTTGAAGAATTTAGAATCTACACTTCCCCAGGATGCTTCCACATAAGTTTCAGCTTTTCTGGCTAAGTGGTTTTTGAGAAGAAGATTTTTAAAGATATTTTCTACATATTTCAATGTAAAACTTGGATTCTCTATTGTGTGGCCCCGCCCTACCCCCAGGGGTCATGATTTGAACACTACTCAAAGATGCTTGCACATAAGTTTCAGCTTTTCTGGCCCAGTGGTTCTTGAGAAGAAGATTTTCAAGATATTTTCTTCATATTTCAATGTAAAACTTGAGATTCCCTTTTGTGGCCCCGCCCTACCCCTGAGGGTCATGATTTTAAAAATTTAGAATTTACATTACCCCAGGATGCTTCCACATAAGTTTCAGCTTTTCTGGTTCAGTGGTTCTTGAGAAGATTTTTAATGACCCCATCCTATTTTTGTCTTTTCTTGATTATCTCCCCTTGGAAGGGGCTTGGCCCTTTATTCTTATAATTAAAACTCCCTTTCTCCCAAGGATACTTTGTAATAATTTTGGTTAAAATTGACCCAGTGGTTCTTGAGAAGAAGTTGAAAACGTGAAAAGTTTACATACGGACGGACAGCTAGACGGACGACGGACAACGGATGATCAGAAAAGCTCACTTGAGGGTATGAAAGACTGCAAATTTATTGCTAGATTATACTGGGTCTGTACCGACTTACGAAAAACAATTAAACATATATTTACCGGTTTTGAAAGGGATTTATTTGTGAATTTATGGGGGGAGGACAATTGGGATTGGCATATATGATTTGCTTGCTGACTCACCTCCAAATGCTTTGTAAGAAATCAACTCATATTCGAGCTGGTATGGATGCTTTGTCAACCATCAGTAGTGGGCATCCTGTCTATTTGTCTGACTTAGGACACTATCCATCTATGGCAGCACCGCTGCAGTATATGGATCTTATTGAATAAAAGTTGTTGCTAAGTCAATGTGTGTCAAGCAAGTTTTGTGTTCTAAATATACATATGATTCATTTACATTAAATTTATGGCATCAGGCTCGGCTTTATTTGGTTCCCCGGGCTATGGATGGTTGGACTTTTCCTCAAGTTTTTGTGTTCTCACAGGTTGTTCAGAATGTATCTACAATGTACTTTCAAAAATATTATTATTATTATTTTATCATTATTATCCAAGTCTAAGGTGTCATTAAAGGAGGATGCCGCCTTATAAATGGGAAGCAAAATAGATTTACATGAGTAATTTACATTCAACAATGCAACAGCAAAATAAAAGTAAACTTCCTAACTTGGATGAGCTTTTGAGCAGGTATTTCACAACCATACAAATATTTGTAATCTATGATAAATGGTCAGATAACTCAGCTTGACTAAATTGGCAACATTTTTACAAGGCAAAATTGAACAAATAGTGAGAACGTAGTAGTTAGCTATTTACTCAATCCCATCAAACATGACTAAAACAGTATAACTCTAAGGAAATAGGCATATAAACTAAGCCAGTAAACAATAGGATTAAATCAACCCATATGCACCAATATAAATATTGTCCCAAAACAATGACGACAATATAGGTAACTTTGACCCTTATGTACCTTAAAACTCTAATCCGAACAAAAATGTGCTTCATAAGACGCCAATTGATTGTCATTATGAGCAATAAACAACAGATAACTGTGACTCATTGGTACATATAAACTCTGTAACAAAACAATAAACAATATGTGTAACTCTGACCCATAGTATCACTAAACTCTGTACCAAAACATTAAGCCAAGTGGGTAAATTTAACCATAAGCGCCAGTCAATCAACTCTGTTCTAAAGCAATTACTACATTCCCTGAAACGTTCTACTTTCCCACTTGAACGGTGAGCGAACGCTGAACGAACGGTGAATGAACGCTGAACGAACGCAGAACGAACGGTGAGTGAACGATGTGTGAACGCTGAACGCAACTTGGTGAACGATGTGTGAACGGTGAACGGTGAGCGAACGCAGAACGCGAACGGAGCGCGAACGCGAACGCAAAGTGAACGGTGAACGCAAGATGAACGATTTATTCGGAATGCCTCTAATCTTTTCCTTGCATTGAAACTATTCTATTATATGTATGCTTGGTGCTAAAAAATAAATGAATAATAAACAAATAGACAAATCAATGAAAACTG